TTTTTGTACTTATCTCCATTTGCTAGTAAGATTCAAAATGCTCTCTGTTCTTTTGTCGCCTCATTATGACTTCTTTTCCTGTATCTGCGAGTCTCACGTTAACTTGCCATAGATGTTTTACACATATTTTAGGCTAAATGTCAAGTATTCCCTCATGCCCATGAGGCATTCGGAAAGTTGATAAGTTCTGCTTTCAAGGACACTCTGAATGACATTATTAAAATTCAACACTTTGCATATTCTGATGGAGAAAAACGCTTGTCCCTGACAACAAAGGACATAGGTCAATTTAAGGAAGCTTCTCAATCTCCTTACCCATGGCCAGAATTCCTTGTGCCAGTATTTGTAAAACCAAAATGAGAAAATGTTACGAGGGAGGAAGAAAAGTGTAGGAGCCCAGGTCCTGTCCAAAAGTAAAAATCCATAACCATCTGTTGTTTGTGTTACATGGATTTCACAACTGTCATCTCCACTGTGCATGCCATTTCATCTTCACAGCAATATCACCAAAACACCCACTGAGATAAAATAACAAATATTTTGAACATACCATATGATATGTTATTTTCTAAATTAATATTTGACAAAGTCAAAATGAGAACTTGTCTATAGGTTACTTTTGTGTTGTCACTTGAAAAATCCTTTAAGGGTTTGCTACTGTTTGGAAATACTTAACCTCAAACTTGAATAACTTAAGAAATACAGAAGAAGAGAAAGGAAGTTATTAAATGCTGCATTTTTAAATTATAAACATGTTTTGAAAAATGGTAATGGCCACTACTTACACTTATATAGCATCTTTCTTCAAAATGGATCCAAAGGTGCTTTTAAAATTATTTACTTTGAAATATCATCTAGAATTTAAATGGACCTTTCTTTTTTGAACTTCAGACCAGCAAGACTATCCCACATTTCACAGCTGGGTATGTCCTGAAGGATTTATTAGCTCTCAAGCTAATCTCTATAACCCATTGTCACACCCAAAGAGTTATTTTGGAAAAAAAAACAACCAAACAAACAAAAAAAAACCCCAAGGAAACAAAAAACCCAAACTGAAATTGCCCTTGGAAAAATGACAGAAAATGAGTTAAAGACAAGTGAGTAAACCAACTGCTTTTTCCCTAAGGAAATCCAAAACTCAAGGTCAGCTGTGTCTGAAATCACTGGACCTGTCACATGGCTTTTATAGCTGCCACTAAGGCTCCTATCAAACCTACACTGAAAGCAATGAAAACATTTTTACTGGAAACAGATCAGGCTCCGATAAGAAGCTCTCTAATCACTTTTGCTGTTAATGCTGCGCAAAGTGAGAGGTGAAGTTTTGAAAAAGAGAAGAATGAACTGAGAGAACTTGAGGTCAAATGTATTTGATCTTTTCCTTTAATTCCTTAATGCTGGTGTGTGTTAGACCATAAATACAGCTCTACAAGTATACGAATACCTATATAGTTTATGTATATAAGAATACATACATGCACACACATTTTATATACATGTTCATACACATACAGAAACACAGGTTGCCCTGTCAGGATAACTCAACAAATTCCATTTTATCCCAGCTTATGTCCTCCACTAACAAAAGTTTGGTGGTCTCAGTCACAGTCCCTTGGGTGTAAGAGTCCATCACAAAACCATCACCCTTAATTTAATACAATTGACAGTCTCTGCTCAGGAGAGGCAGAAGGAGTTGCCATGGAGACTGAACTATTGCTCTTCTCCAGACGATGCCTTTTTCAAGCACGGGCTGAACAGTAGAGGCTGTGTAATGCCTGTAACCTTGATCACATCACAGGATCTTGGTTTTTGGGATGGCTTTATAGTGAACTTTAACAAACATCCAGGAGATGAGGGGAAAAAAAGACATAGCTAAGAAAACAAACAAACAAAACAAAACAAAAAAAACCCAAACCAACAAAAGCCAATATGAACATGCATATTATGCCAGACTGAGAGTGGAAAAGAGTTTCATATTGATTTGATTTATCAGATTTGTCACCTCTGCTTAGTGGTTTCCTAACAGGGTGAATGCTGTGCTTGACCTATTTGCTGGAATTAACCAGGACTGCAGGAGACCATATGGATTGCCAGATGGTCTGCTATAATTTAATGCCATTTATTCTAAGTATGAAGTAAGTGATAAACATAATTAACATTCTTTTAGCTCCTTACTGGATGCCCTTTATTAGTTTCTTTTTTTTTTTATTTCTGAAGCTTTGAAAGGTAAGTTAATACCTTGTTACTGAAACACAGATGCCAGCTAATTACTGCAAGAGGCTGCAGCCTCCAAAGCAAAGAGTGTCTGCACAGACTCTAACTTATTCACTGACCCCACTGTGATGATTAATAGGTTGAATGCTAAGCTCTAATGAGGATGACAGATCTTAGATGTTTTCAGGTTACCTTAATTAGTAGTATGATGAACAGAGTGTTCATTGAAGATGTACGTATCACACTTCATAGTAAACAATACACCTTGTACTCATGGGCTGAATGTGTATTTCACATTACAGCACATCAAATGCTAAGGAATCAAACCACCTTCAGACAATAAAAACAATGGAGTGATTTCCTTCAGAAATGTTTTTCCTGATTGCTATTTCATATTCTGCCAGTGATTGTCTAAATGGCCTATTTTTTAGGAAGTGGTTCTAGAGAAGCTATGGCTTCAAAGAGTGTTTATATCAGGCAGGGTCGTCATTCTCAGCATTTTAAAACCATGAGTCTGTAACAAGATAATCCAAACAACTTTGCCTACTGTTCCTGTGCTGATAATCTTCATAGTGACTAGGGTAGGTGTCAGCACAATGAATAATAAACCATTTTGTAATTTTTAATGTCAATGCATAGGTGAAGTTTGTATGCTGGTACTCAGAACAGTAAAAGAAGTATTAGAGAAAAGGCAGAAGTACCGAATGCTTTGTATTTTACATGAAAAGTTGTGCACGTTGAACCTCGCAGATAAAAATGACCACAGCTAAAGGTCCTGTGATTTGCATTTGTACTGTTAATAAAACTCAGGTGAACTTTGAGATGACAGAAATGGCATAAATTAAACGTTATTCAAAGATTAAAATAAAAGAACAGCACCTGCGCTATAAAGCAAATCTGCCCTTAGAAAACTTAGCTTCAATTAAAAAATGTGGTGAAAGGGTCCAGGTCAAAAGTCATAGCATAAGGAAAGAAGAATCAAACTCTTTCAACACCTCTGCTCTTCCCTTGTTCCAGGTGGGTCCAGCACTTGTCCAGGGGCCTCCACAGTTACACCTGTACACTCCACAGTGCAAGTGCTTATGCATCCTTAAGAAGCAACTACATTAGAGGGGACCTGAATGTGACAGGACATACCTGCCCTTTTACTCCACTCTTGATTGCATTAGTTCAAGTTACTTCTTCACCTGGTGAATTTTGGTGAATCACTTGGTTATTGTTGCTGGTCCTATAAAATCCTTTATGATTCTCTACTAGCATATGAATAAAAATGGGATCAAAATATCTGAACAGCAAGCTTTTGTTGATATTGACACCACTTGTCAAGATGTCTTTATAAGGTCTCTGTCTCTGCCAGCATTTGAAAAAAGGATCCATTTTTCCATGCCATTAACTGAAAAATATTTACTTGAGGTCCTTAAGCTAATGCTATACTGGCTGCAGGTTCATTTTTCTAGTCAGAGGGGAAAAACAGGTAGTCTGAATCCCTCCCTGTAGGCACCTACCTCTCTTCCCTGACTGCTAAAGGAGCTAGGGTCATTCAGGTGTCAAAACTTAGGTAGGCTGAAATCAGAGATAAAAAATTACCACGCTAAAAATGAGACTTCATGCTTCCTTCACTAGTTTGTTTACTGGACCTGATAATACCGTACTTTACTATTACAGATACCACTTCTGAAAAATTTTGGAGTGATGCTCTTCAGTGATTAACAGTATTGAATCTCAATGTGCTATTGGGACAGTTTTCACTTTCTATGTTTATACATATGTACACACACACACACACACATATATATAAAAGTATACATTTAATTGCTCCATCATTACAAACAGTCTGAGATGTTCCAAGTGGTTACCTCATAATATCCAAAGAAAGAGCAATGCCAGATCTAGTGCCTGAAATAACATCATATTCGGCCCTCTGGACTGCCTGAGAAAGTGTTTTGCCTAAATAGCAGCTATGTCTCACCAATACTTAAAAAAAAAATTCTGAAAGAATAAAGAAATCAAGCAGAATTTAACAGTTAGTCTTTGAGGCTGATAGACACAAAACCTGCCAAAGCAGGTTTGACACTTAGTCCTTAAACATGGCTTTATACTTTAAGATCCTTTTTCATCTGTCTTGTTCTTTACTCGCTTGCTCACAACAAAAAAAGATATCAGAGAATTTATCTTCACTATTCATTTCAGTCCCAACAATAAGATTGTCTGTATCTTAGCTGTCATACAGATGGCATGTATGAAACATGGCTCTTGGCCTAAATGGAAAGCAAGACTTTATTTTAGGACAAACAGGGACAAGATATAAAACCCCTGTCTACAGAAGAATACCTGTGCCTGACTAATGAACCCTCATTGCCATAACAATTTTCTGTATTTAAGCTCTATCATCTGATCTACTGAGAGACCTCACCAAGGCAGTGGAAACAGAGCAAACATACCCCCAGGCCCTGAAGAAGTTACTTGGGCTTTGCTTTGTTGGAAAATGAAACTGTGAATTTAGGGCAAAATTGCAAAACAGAATTAGGTAGAGGAACAAACAAAAGGCCCTAAGGGGAAAACAAAAAGGAAGAGAATATAAAATGTTTTAAAAGAGAAAGTAAACAGTACTTTGATGATGATGTGGCTACCAGTACTCTCTGATAAAGTATGATGCAAAAAGAAGCATGCATTTTGGTAAATTCTTTAGGTAATAATGACAAAATCAGGTAGTAATTAACTTCAAGTGCTTTAAGACCATAGAAAAATAAAACAAACTATGATATTTGCAAATTTCACAAATGTCTTACCTCCTGCATACATGACAGCCAACATTATCGATGATATCCAAGCTATCTCACTATATGATGTGTGGAAGATTTCTTGTATTTCTTTGAAGAATACCGTGATGGCTTTGGGGAATGCATAGGAAAATCCAATGGAGATAAAAGCCCCAAAGACCACAACCCATCCCCAGCCTCCATCTGGAGGTGGGTACTGTGGCGCTGCTATTGCTGGTGGCATTTTTGGTCTCTGTCTCTTCTCCAACTAGGCTGAAAAAGAACAGAAGAAATAAGGTTTCAAACAGTTTTCCTTTTTTCTTTATCAAACCACAGTATTCAGTCATCATCTGCAGGGATTAAAAAGAATCCTCAGAGCAGAGACCAATTTCCAGCTTTCATGGGACCACGGAACAGGAGTACCTGTTTTTAGAAGCAAAATCTGTTCTGCAAAAAAACTTGTGGCAAGAATATTTGCAATATCCTATTCAGTATATGACAACTGTTACAAATCATTGATCTCAGTCACTGAAGTTGTATTTGCAATTAGTCACTTATTGGAAAGTGATGTGTCTGTGTGGGTTAATTTATGTAGCTCTATCATCTACAGTGTGGATTTAGCACAGGAATAAAACAGAAAAAAAAATAGAAACTGGACTTACAGGAAACAATGGGAAAAAGCTACAGTAAATTATCACTAAATGCCATTGTGTTAGCAAGACTTACCAGTACCTCAGCAAAATCATCAGCAGCGACAACAAGGAATAAATTCATTACATGGTTTTTTATCATATGCTGTCATTATCCAATTTTTGACCATTGTTGGTATCTCTTGCTTACCTCATGAGAACATCTAAAAAGCGGGTTCTATGCAGGGAACATAGAGAACAGAGAAATTCCCTGTGTATCCATAAAATACATACAAAATATTATAATTCCATATTGTACTTTTATTTTTAAAATTTTCATCTTCATATTAGTTGATGCTGATATTAATTGTAGGAACAAAGTGGAGCTTGATGATACTATTTTTGCTCTGTTTCCACGTCAGAAGTTATCAGGAATTCTTTCACTACAAACCTCACAAACTTTCCACAGCTATTCTTTAATTTAGAGTTTACCATAATAGATACCACCAGAGTGATATCTTATAGAGGTACTGAGAGGTGTAACCAACACATTCAGGCAGCTCAAGAAATCATAGGTAATCCACACAAAACTCCTAAGGCCTGAAATAAATTTCATACTGTTATTATCATCCTGATATCTAAAAACTTAAGCTTTCTACATTCTGCATAACCTTTTTAGAAAACATGCAGTAGCGAGAATCCATTTTGTAATTCTGAGATTTTTCCATTATCAAATCCTTTTATTATTAAACACAGAGATGGAGCCCACTGTGTTTTCTTCTGTGTAATCCAGCCTACACAGACAGCATGAACTGAAAATTCCTCCTTCCTCCCTGTTTCTTTCTTGGGCATTTAGGCAACTTATTACTCTTGATTGTCTCCTGCCATACCAGTATCAAAAGCTGTGGATGATAACAGTGTGTAGGTTGCTGTTATGCTTATGATTACTAGCAAGTCTCTATGTGATTTCTTCCATGCCACTTACGGCATATTCCAATTTCTTGCAGCAAACTGCATTAGCACTGGGAGTGATATGATTACCTTGATAAAAACTAAAAAACGAACCGTGCTAGTTTATATTAATCTCCCAGGATAGTGCCTGGAGTACTTTCAAGGTAAATGCCACGTAGCACTGTGTGCAATATATGCCACAAAATTAGCAGTGTTGCTTTTAAGATTATCTATCACTAGGATAGCCCTGTGATAGAAACCCACTGTATTTCTGATTCTCCACTTCACGGAAGCTGATTGTAGACATCACCCTGATATTGGCAGACCTCTGGGGGAAAGTTAAATCAATGACTAAACCATCTGGCTTCTATGCAAGGTTGCAAAAGCCCAGGTAGTTTGGCTTCTGCATCATATCATACAGATTTGCTGCTGGCAGCAATAGACATCTATTGCTCTGTACATAAACCATATAAATCTTTTTATACACATGTCCAGAAAGAACCTCTGGCATGTACTTTGTTTCTGCTTATCCTAGTCGCAGCTTAATATTAGTCCACATTATTTCCATCAGTGAGGAAAACCTGGGCCTGCCACTAGAAGAGGTTGGACAAGTAGAGACAATTCTGGTTGCTGAGACTTTGGCAAAGCAGTTAAAGACCAGTTTGGTTTTGCTGAGTCAGGACCCATTAGAAGGAAAAGTATCTCAGAAAGCCCATTGTAACTTCTAACACACATAGTGATGAACCATTGCCTTCAAAAGCACAAAACCTCAAATTGGCATGAAAAGCAGAACTCTGTTTTTGTGAATTGAGTGACAGTAAACAACAGAGTTTGCTATCTGTCCCAGAAAGCTGTTGCTCTGCTCATCTGAGAAAACTATTAGTTATTTCCTAAAAAAAGGTTAAGTATTGTTTTCTTACACTTCAAAGGTTTGAGCATATTTGTTTTTGTATTTCCTATTCATATGACAACACTTCTATGCCTATTATAAATTTTAGTAATGCCACACAACACCAAGGCATTGCTCTCCATAAAAATGGAAAGGGATTATCAACTTATTGAGGAAGCACTCCTTTTCCTAAAAATAATACACAACCACTTTGAAAAATCACTGCCACCACATTAGTCAGAAGAACGCTGAAGTTTTCTGAATGTCACTAAGGTGTTGGTGCTTTGGAAAGATCCCATTATATCCATCGCTTTAGGGCAGCAGAACAGGATCTGACAGTTCAGTGCTCTCCTCCCTTCAAAAGCTTCACTGTAAACTAAGGGGGCACTAAGAAGATGAGCAAAGGGGCATTGGCTGATCCTATGCCTCAGCCTAGAGGCAAACTGCTGCAAAGCCCACTGCATGGCCAGCTTGTAGTGCTGTTGCAGTAAAAGGCTGTCTGCTAACCTATACTAGATGTTACACTGTCACAAAGAAGAGCCTGGATCATTGTATCTCACACCTCCTGTTTATCCCCCAGAGTTGAGTTAATAATAGCTTCCCTGATGTTCCTTTATGATCATGATAGCCAATTTTAGCTCCAGTTATTAAAAGGTAAAAAGGAAAAAAATAATAAATACATGTTTGCACCAAGAGGAAAAAAAGTATTCATGTTGTCAGAAACATTAAATCCAACATCTCAAACATCCCATACCTGCTCAGGAGCTAAAGCAACTTTCTCCTGTAAAACGTGCACTTAATATTCCTGAAACTGAACTCCTCCTAAAGCAGTCTAGCAAATTAATATACCTAGCTCTAATCTAAGCCTAACTAGTAAGATTTGGGTAGTATAGGTAGTATATGGACAAGTGCAAAATCCATTAGCAACCAAAACAAAACAGCATTTTAGATGAGTGGATATAAATGTTGACAAGGGAAGAGGCGGAAGAGGCAGAAAAGGAAGGAATAAAGCAGTGACAAGCAAAACACCTTTTCAGAGCTCTCAGAGCTTATTATGGGCTGTGAAGAATAAAAAGAAATACGGTAGAAAGCATAAAAACAGGCAGGTGTGTTGTTGTTCATGTGAAGGACATGGTACTGGACAAAAAAAAAAAAAAAAAAAGGCAGCACTTGAGTACATAAAGGTCACCACCAGTGTTTTTAGTCAGTCATATGAATTCCATCATGTGCTTAAAGGTAGTGAGAGAGCAGTGCTCATACCTATGCTTTTATAGGCAAGCAGTGGGCGAGGAACGCTGCCTGCCCTCTGCCCAGGGAAGCAGCAGGGGAATAGCAACTGAAGCGTGTTCTGAGTGAAGCCATCAACCTCCCTTCTCTGTCAGACAGAGAGGTTGCTCAGCCTTTCCATACCCCGAGTCAGACTGTGCACAAGGATTTTCTCCTAAGCTCCTTCTAGTTCCCCTGTATAAATCCCATTTATGTAAGCAGTGAACAAGAACATAGCTTACTGTAGTAAGAGCTGCATGTGTCTACTAACAAATAATAGGAGAGAAACAGGGAAAGA